ATTCCTGGAAGATTCTGTGGGAGGCTACTACAGAGAAAAACATCCTTGACTCACAATTTTAAATATTTCATATGATTATTTTATTTAATTTTTCAAAGGAGTCTTCCCAGTAGTGCTCAGGGATCCTGAAGGCCTACCCCAGTAATATGCGGTTCACTGATGTAAGCGTAATGATTCAGTGCTGGTGACCAAGCAATGCTGGGGAACACAGTGCTCAGGAGCCATAAGGGCTATAGCAGAGGTTCTGGGTTATATATGAAATAAAGCTCTAATACATGAAAGGCATATGATCCTTTCCTTTGAGCTATCTTTCCAGCTCTTAAAAATTCTTAAGGAGGGACTGAAGCAATAGCACAGTGGGTAGGGCGTTTGCCTTGCACGCGGCTGACCTGGGTTCGATTTCCAGCATCCCATATGATCCCCTGAGCACTCCCAGGGGTAATTCCTGAGTGCAGAGCCAGGAGTAACCCCTGTGCATCGCCGGGTGTGACGAAAAAAAAAATTCTTAAGGAGAACCTGCTTTGTATACATGCCCTGTGCTACACCATGGAGTGCAAAGAAAATAGATACTCTCTTTGGATTTCTGTCCCATGAAAGCATAAAATCAATGACTGTAAATCAAAGAATTAGTTTCATAAGTGCTATCACAGCCTCAGTACAACAATGGAAAAAGAAATGCCCAATTTTACTGAAACAGTTTCATGAAAATCCAAGCATGAGTAGGAGCTAGCTTGTTCGACAAAGGGGAAAAAAAGAATATTCCTGATAATAGAAATATTTCTTGTAAACATAGGGAAATCAGAATTTCACTTAGATTAAGTAGATGCATGATTTTACCTCCATATTTAAGTTCACCTCTCTTTTGTAAAAAATGCCATAATTGGGATTTAACCCTATACTGTCACTACATCTGTCACCATGACACTTAATTTTGTGTTTCTTGAAACAGAGCGTTGCTGGCTTTATTCTTAAAGCTCTGAACAATTGTGTGTAGTTTCATTTATAAGTGTTCAATACCTGTTGTCTGTGCCAAAGTTATCAGTGTCAAGGGATTGATTTCAGAAAAGAGAGACTTGATATAATTTTACATGGATAAGATGCTGTTGATAGAGGGGAAAAGGTTAAAGATGCAGGGAGAAACAGAAGAAAATAATGGAATAAAGAATGGCATATAGGGAAGGAAAACTCCAGGATTAACAGGAATAAATAGATTTAATTGATAATCTTCATCTTAAATTAAATTTTAGTGTTAATTCTTATGTAAATTGAGGGTTAAATGTTCTGCGAAGAGGAATTTGACATAGAAATTAGACAAAGTCTGAGACATCTATGTAGGATGTGTTCATATTGTTAACATTGGTGTCAGGGAAATATCGTTGTCAAATAGTAAATGCTAGCAGGGATTGGAAATACTTCTACAGATTCTATATATCAAAGAATAGGAAAGAACTAAAAATGATATTAAGAAAAATAGCAATGAATAATGAGTGGACATTTTAAAAAGTTTATCAAAATGCCCCCATAATTATCTGTAAATTGTGTTTAAATTTTTATACTTTATTATAAAATTATATGTGCTTATTTTTCAGAGACATAAATTGAAAAACAATAGGAAGAAAAAGGCATAATCCATGCAAATTTCTACCAAATGATATATATGTCATTTATATATATGTATATATATGTGTGAGTGCATATATATGTATATATATATTCATATATATATAGATATATACCATTTGGAAGAGACTTGGAAATGAATTAATCTGAGCAGGGATATAGAATGTTTTTGTATTACTTTTCAATAATTTAATATTTAATTTGAAATTAATTACAAGCAATAGAGCTTATAAGAAAAAAAAAAGAAACTTTGGCATTAAGTAAAATCCAAGTGAGCTTACACTCAGAAATATAACAGGAAATGTGTTTTAGAAAAAGTATATTGAGTTGTTTGAGCTAGTGGAAGGACAACTCTAATTGGCTCAGGAGATGTTTGTGATACCCTTGAAGCCACCATAAATGTTTGGTATTGTATTTTTTTAAGATTTAAAAGAAACTTTGTAGCTATGATTCTGTGCTCAGATATTTTCTATTGGTTAAATGAAACTAGAATAGACCATGAATGAGCCAACAAGAATCGCCAAAGGCACTGGAAAAATAAAAACACTAAACAAATCACATAAACATAAATTTCTCATTCTTATATTAAAAGTAAATAAACATATAAATATGTCCTGTCAGAAAAAGACACTGCTATTATTTTTGGAACCATACCGTGTTCTACTAAAGGGCTGCTCCCATAACTGTGTACAGGAGTCACTAGTGTTGGTGCTCATGGAGGCATGTGACACCAGGAATAGAACCCAGGTTCTCCTTACTGTTTGAAAAGTATGCACTTCAGCTTGTTAAAGTATTTCTATCCCCTCAATCTGTTTTTAACACTAAACATAGCTCACATGTGATGACTGTTAGGAAACACATCCTCTTTCATGATATAGCAAAAGTACAGCAGATAAAAATTGATATTCCTTGGGCAAAATATAAGCAGATCACTAATGTTTCAAATTTTTCCTTTTAATGTGAAAAAGATAACTGGGGTGGGGGTGGTGGTCAGAATGATAGTACAATTGGTAAGATGTTTGCCTTGCAAGTGGCTGACCAGGGTTTGATACTTGGAACTCCATATGGTTCCTGAGATTGCCAGGAGCGATCCCTAAATGCAGAGCCAAGAGTAAGCCCTGAGCAGTTAGGTGTGGACCGAAAACAAAATAGCAAAATAAAAAACTAATTTAATTAGACAAGTTATTCAATGTAGAAACTCCACGGTGTTTTGCATTTGAATAGAACATTAACAAATTATAATTTGAATTTATTGAAAGCATTTATAAAAACACATCCATGTCTTGCAAATCATTTTATATTATTTATGTAAATTTTACTAATTTCCCTTGTATGACATGATCAGAAAGACAAATCTATGCCAGATCTATGCAAAATTTATAAACCCAATCTGTCTACTTTCTGCTTCATGATATAATCCATTATCATTATTCTAATAACCAAAATTCATGTTATTTAATTAAACTAAATATGTACACACATTAAAAAAGAACATGCATAATAATAAGCACTAATATTGGAGATTGAAGTCCAAAATTATTAATCTTAAATTATGGGAAGTTGAAAAATTTGGCTTTGTTCTTATATGTTCTATTGCTAGATTTTACTCAAAGACCATGGAAAGATGATTAATAACTGTCGCACATATGCATATTATATAATACTTCAAAACTTTTTTGTCAGGGGTATGGAATGGTGAATGGGCTCCCAAAACAGTGCTCAAGGGCCATTTCCCTTGATACTTGCTGATATAGATGAATGGTTATCCATGGCCACTGCTATAGTGTCTGTTCTGGGGTGTTTGGTTAGAGGACATATTACTTGGGCCCTTTGTGTAAGATGTGTGTTGTCCTGACCCCACAGCTATATCTTCAGCTCCAACACCTATACTTTTTAAAGCAAATTTGTTTTTATTATCTTTTAAAATTTCCCCATAGGCAGGAATTATTATCATTTGATATTTGTAATGTAGGGAAATAGTTAAGAGCAACTGAGCATATGCAGTTGGCAAGTATGATTGAAGGAAGAATGTTTCGTTCTATAACTCTACACATGAATAATGAAGTTGGAACAGAAGCTCATGTATTTAAGTGCTAGTCCTGGGTTTGTCTCATTTAATACTCTTAAAGGACTTTGCCACTAATATAATGCTTATACACTAGTTTTACAATTCTGAAGCTGCTCTGCATAGGGAAGTGTTGACAGTCAAGAGCACACTCAGTCTTCAGAATTATAGTGTGTATAATGCATATTCTATAAATATATAATGATTTAATATTGATTTTTCTCACATTAATAGTAATCCTAAGTATGTGAAATAGGTTTCATTAGAGCCAATGAATAAATGAGAAAACTAAAAGACACTTTAAAGATAAGTGATATTAAAGAAAGCATTAGCAGATAAAATAGATTTTTCAATTGTATTCTTCCTATGCATACATAAAATATGCTGTCTTATTTCTCTATAAATAATTTTATTGCAATGGCATTTTTAGAACTATTTTCAACAAAAATATAAAATAAATAATATCACATTTCATTGGTCAAAATCACTACATGCTCATATTTCTTAAAATTACAACTTCCATGGCATACTCAAAATTCCATACTAATTTCCATGCAAAATTGAAAAAAAATCCCGAAAAATATATGCAATTCATGCAATTTGATAATTCTGTTAGATTTGTGGCTATCAATATATATCCATCTTGGTGAGAATTATCCCAAATTAGCAATTGTTGTCTTAATCTTTATAGGAGAATGTGCACATTAGCAGAAGATCTAGAAATCTATAATGTCATATTCCTTAATTTCATCTAGTTATGTTATCTTGCACAGTTACCTAAACTCTTGGGTTTTTTGATCCCTCATCATTTAAAATTTAATTCTAACTGCCAAATCCTTGATTCTAAACTGCAGTCTGAAATTAGATCCAGCAGCCTCATAATTTGTATAATTTCATTCTCCTATGATTACCTTCTCAGTTCATGCTGGCCTATTAACATGTGAATGCCGATTGAATAAAAGCCTTACACATTTAAATGAAGATATTTCTCTTGTGATATTTCCATTTGAGCCTTTTGTCTATTGATTTGTGATTATCCAGTATACTAAAATGAAAATAACCTTGACTAGAAATCAAGAGACTTAGGTTCCATTCTGAGCACTGATAAAAATTTAAAAGAAAACAAAACAAAACCAAAAAACCCCCAAAGACTCATTTAGCTTTTGTAAAGTACAATGACTTGAAGTATAGAGAATAAGCATAAAAATATGTGTACCCCTACTTTATGAAAAATATGTGAAAAATGGACTTTATTTATGAATATGCTTAGTTAAAGAATACAGAAGAGCACAAAGAACAGTAACATCTATTTTACCTGATGGGGAGATGTGCCGCCAGGAAATGGAAGGTTCTGGTTTCCCAGTGGCCAAACAAGTGAGAGTGACATTGGTTCCTTCATTGATGGTCATATCATTTGAGATGTCATAGATCTTCGGAGGAACTGTAATTGCCAAACATACAGTGGTCAGCACAACGTACATACATTAACATTGGTCGGCAAAACATGCATACAGATGGATGATTGACTTCATAATATTATGCAACCAGCTCTCATGTTGAAATATTTTTAGTTTATAACTAAACAATTTCTCTTGGTCCTCTGATTCTCTTGTTGTGTCTGTTTTACAGATAATTTTACGTTTCACTATTTTTAGTCAACTAAATGGAATATTTAATAACAAAAGCCTGCTTATTATTTAATATTTTTGTAGATATTTGATATTTAGTAAACTCAAATATAGTCATACTGTTTAAGCCATGTAGCCATAGTTTAATTTATCATTTTCCTGTTAACATGCCTAAATAAAAATGGAAATCTGGAAGATACCTGAGATAGCACAACTGCCACGCCTCTATGCAGATTTTAAGAGGAAGGCTAAATAAGGATGGGATTGGAAGGTGAGATGGTTAGGTAACAATGGCATTTTGGGTTTTAATATTCTATCTGTGAAGTGGTTTGGTTGAATTTAGCATTTAGGTTCTAAGGAAGACAAATCCTAATGGCTATACATGTTGAGTTCAATGTAAATTTTCTTGATTGCATTGTTTGAAAACCTTTGGTTGAAAAATCCCACTTCATGGTTTATTTGGAATCTTTGTCATGCCCTTTTACACCATAAATCTCAGCGATAAGGGAAAGATATTATGTTGTCTTTTTATTGTAATGTATAAAATTATGAAAGAACTCTGTAACATTTGATGATGGACCACACTTTTGGGAATGTTGGTTAGGAAAAGTCTCTAAATTAACTTCTAGGTTTAGCTAACGGTATCTTCAAACATGTCATGCCACTGGCAAAGCAAGTGAAAACAGAGATAGACAAATGGGACTAACTTAAACTAAGAAGCTTTTGCACCTCCAAAGAAACAGTGACCAAAATACAAAGACAGTCTACAGAATGGGAAAGGATATTTGCCAAATACACATCCGACAAGGGGATGATATCAAGGATATACAAAGTACTGGTTGAACTCCACAAGAAGAAAACATCCAACCCCATCAGAAAATGGGGCAACGGAATGAACAGAAACTTCCTCAAAGAAGAAATCTGAATAGCTAAAATGCGCATGAGAAAATGCTCTACATCATTAATCATCAGGGAGATGCAGATCAAAACAACAATGAGGTATCATTTCAGACCACAGAGACTGGCCCACATCCAAAATAACAAAAGCAATCAGTGCGGGCATGGATGCGGAGAGAAAGGGATCCTCCTTCACTGCTGGTGGGATTGCCAACTAGTTCAGCCCTTTTGGTAAACAGTATGGATGATTCTCAAAAAACTAGAAATTGAGCTCCCATTTGACCTAGTAATACCACTCCTGGGAATATACCCCGGAGAGGCAAAAAAGTGTAGTTGAAGTGACATCTGCATTTGTCTGTTCATTGCAGCACTGCTTACAATAGTTAGAATATGGAAGAAACCTGACTGCCCGAGAACGGATGACTGGTTAAAGAAACTTTGGTACATCTACATAATGAAGTGCTATGTAGCTGTCAGAAAGGATGAAGTCATGAAATTTACATACAAATGGTACTACATGGAAAGTATCATGCTGAGCAAAATGAGTCAGAAAGAGAGGGACAGACATAGAAAGATTGCATTCATCTGGGGAACATAAAGTAACAAAATAGGAGACTAACACTCAAGAATAGCTGGGATAAGTACCAGGAGGTTTACTCCATGGCTTGGAGGCCAGTCGCACACTCTAGGGGTAAAGGCAGCTCAGATAGAGAAGGGAGCACCAAATAAAGGGTGTTGGAAGGATCCTCCCAGGATGGGAGAAGCATGCTGAAAGTAGACTCTAGACTGAACATGATTGCCACTCAATGCCTTTTTTGCAAATCACGCACCCCAACAGAGAGAGAGAACAAAAGGGAGTGCCCTGCCACAGAAGCAGTGTGGGATGGGGGGATGAGGTGTGTGGGAGGATACTGGAATTAGTGGTGGTGGAGAATGGGCACTGGTGAAGGGATGGGTACTTGATCATTGTACAACTGAAACCCAAGCACAAAAATTTGTAAGTCTACAACTGTACCTCATGGTGTTTCACTAATAAAAAAAATAAAAAAAATATAACATGGGAAAAAATAAATTAACTTCTAGGATTAAAATATGTATATTCTCTCAAATACCAACAACAAAGGGTCTGTATCTGAATCCTGGGCCCTAGATAACCTGGTTATTTAGAACAAATTATTTAATCTATAAGAGCCTTTTGTCTTCATATGAAAAAGTTTACTAACAGAGCAAATCAAATACTACTGCTGTGAGCATTAAAGAAAGTCAATATAGGTTAGAGGACTTAGAAAAACTGACATAAAAGTTAAGTAGTAAAGGAATGCTGAAATACATATATGGTTTTTGAATTATTTTAAAATGATTGCCTTTTAAAATAACTCTCAAAACTTAATTGCTTGTATATATGACTGATTTATGCAGTAGATTCTTGTTACTATATGGAAATCATCTGTTGAGAGCCAGAGAGATAGCATAACAGGTAGGGTATTTGCCTTGTATGTGGCCAACCCTGCTTTGTTCAATTCCCAGCACCCAGTATGGTCCCCTGAACATTGTCAGGTGTGATCCCTGAATGTACAGCCAGAAATATACCCTGAGCACAACCAGGTGTGACCAAAAAAACAATGCTGAAGCTACAAATTGAAGCTGAATAAATGATAAAATGGTACTTTGATAGTTATGATAAAACTATTATATTTACTGCAATTATTTTAATTATTCTGTTATCACTTCTTTAAGCAAGAGAAATTCTATTGCTAAAAATTTATAAGTGAAAACTGTCATATCTGTGCTTCAAATATAATTTTTGAATTCTTAATGGATCATAAATATTGTTATAAGAAAATGTAGAATGATTTGATTTTAAATATAAGGTATTTGATTTTATATGAATCTAGAGAAGGCATATACTATTGCAACTTTGTAAATAGCAGACTTTAGTATTTAAAATATATTATCATTAAACTCTTCACTGAGGTCTTATAACACATGTAAAAAATTGAAAGTCATTCCAAACACTAAACTTTTTCTTAGTTTAATTCAATGGAATGGGAAGGAATAGGAGTGAAGATACATGGTTTACAACTACACCACCTCCGCTTTGCTGATGACTTTGTTCTAATAACACCAAACATTATCCAAGCGGCACAAATGCTGGCCGACTTCCACTGTGAGTGTGGAAAGGTCGGATTACAGCTGAATCTGACGAAGACAATGTTTGAGAAACAGTCTCTTTCGTGACACTCCATTCGCTCTCAACGGAATGACCATCTCCGAATGCAACAGTTATGTGTGCCTAGGTCGAGAAGTCAACATGATGAATGACCTGGCACCTGAGTTGCGCAGGACGAAGAGAGATGCTTGGACCAACTTCAAGAGCATTGAAGAAATATCTAAGAGGACAAAGAACCTCTGGCTCCAGGCACATCTCTTTGATTCCACTGTTCTTCCTGCATTAACATATGCCTCAGAGACCTGGGCCCTACACAAACAGGATGAGAATACTATTGAGGTCTCCCAAAGAGGAATTGAAAGAGCTATGCTTGGAGTATCACGTTTTACTCAAATGAAAGAAAGAATCCGGAGTTTTGACCTCTGTCAAAGATCAAGAATCAGGGACACTGTCTCGTTTGCCAACGTGTCAAAAATCAGATGGGCTGGATACATAATGAGATTTGATGACGACTACTGGACTAGAGCCCTTATCGACTCGATTCCACTGGATGTCAAAAGACTGCGTGGCCGCCCACCTACCAGATGGTCAGACTTCTTCATCAAGATCCTGAATGATCGATTTGAGGCTCTTCGTGTTCCTAGAACGAACAGACACCATTGGGCTACACTAGCACGCAACAGGGACAAATGGAGACTTTACTGGCACCCGCTCGAGCAAATCGACGAATAACGGGAAGTCAAGTGATCAAGTGATCAAGTTTCATTGAAACAGAATAGAAATAAAGATATTAAAAAACTTTAGAAAGAAATTGGAGTAAAACATTCATGACTTATTGGTGAAAATGAGAGTCAATAAAAGTAAATTTATAGAGTAAAACTTCTGTTTGGTTAGGTGTAAACTCTTAAATAAGTGTATATATCTATGCATGTATGCACAAATAGACATACACACAAATACAGACATACTTATGCTCATAATTTAAAAAAACATATAATACTTTCCTTATTTTGATTATAGTACATAGAAGCAAGTGTAGCCTGGAATTTTTAATATATATTTCAAATATATTCTAATTTGTCCAAACATATTTGGACAGATGTATGCAAATGTATATTTCAGATAAATTATAGTGTGCCATAAAACCAGGCATTCAGTCCTCTAAATTGCATTTTGTTGATTCTATCATATCTTAAAATAGTTTACTTTCATTTTAGACATCTGTCTGTATTTAAAGTGGTAAACTAATACTGAGCACAAGTATCTGAACACACAGATAATCAGCTACCTCCCTTAGCAATAAACTCATATTTGATATCTAACTATCGGCAACTATATGATTGGGGAATAGTGTTTAATTCCAGGTGTGATATGGCATCTCAGTGAATGCAACCACTTGGTAGAGCCTTGTGATCCAGGATATGCCATAGGGAAGATATTTCTGGAAAGTGGCTGTTAATAAGGGAAAATCCCTCTTGCAAGGTTCTTCTTCCCAGAATGTAGCACCTGTTGGCAACAGATGCTGAGTGTAAAAAGGATCAATGAATTCCTTCGTATGCACTGTAGATTATGGAAGCAAAAGACAGGTGTTACTTTGCTGAATATTCAAAGCAAATGCATAGTGAATTTAAGTTTTAAACTTTCTTTCCTAACTTCTAATGTCTTCTAAGTTTTACTGAGTCTCACAGAGGGAAGATTCTAGAAACAATGGACGTGAACAAAGTTTAGAGAATATTTAAAGAATAT